GCGGGCGGGGGGAGGAAAAGCCGTTAGCTGGCCCGAGCAGGAGGATTTGACCCCACCGGTGAATAGAGAGTTCACAGCGTGGGATACACGGCCTCCGGCTGAAATCTGGCTCTGACCGAGCTGCCCACCTCACGTCAGGGGGTTTGGTATGGCCAGTAAAGCCCTGTTTGCTAAACAAGCGCGGTTTGGCTGCTCTCTGCTGCAGACATGGGCTTGTCTGAGATTTCCACGGCCCCGGGGAGCGGGAGCTGCTGCTTGGACAAGGGCTGGGGGTGCTGGGGACATCGCTGCGACTGAGGTGGTGCATGGGCTCCTCGCCGTGCAAACAGGGCATCTCCGTAACGCGAGAGCCCCCAGGCCCAGGCAGAGGTGTGAAGACCACGTGTGAAGCCGGAGGAGAAGCGGCGTGGGCAGGAGGCTCCCGCAGGTCTCGGCTCCCCGGTACGCCGGGCACCAGGCAGCGGGACTCTGTGGTGCATCTTTTACAGCGTGGTGGGAGGCTGCAGTGCGCACACAAAAAGGGATGAGTCACTCAGGTCACTAATGAAAGGTCACAGCATCCTCAGATTCAGGGAGAGGCATTTATTTCTTCAGCAAAACAATTTCATTGCTAAAGTACCTTTGGCTACAGGGACAACAGACCTGACATGTTATCTTATTTACCAAGGATATCGATCAGACTAGGGAAGGAATAGTAGATGCAATTACTCCAGGTGACCTGGGGAAAAACGGTAAATATACCTGGGCCTGGGTGCCGTTGGTGAAGATTTTAATAAAAGAGAAAAATATGTGTCTTTGTCTATGCTGTGCAGAGTGTTTTGGCATCTGGGAGACCAACAGCTTGTGAAGAAGAGCAAATCACATAAATAGAATAACATTTAGCATAACTGTGTGAGGCCATCAGTCTAATATTATTCCTGCAGTGCATGCGGTTATAAATAGGTGATGCCGCGTAGCGTGGGACCTGGGGAGAGCGAGAGCTAAGGAATGCACTTGCAGCTCGGCGGCAGCAGCACTGCGCAGCTTGCAGCCATAACACACATTTGTATGTGCGTTACAGAGCGACTGCGGCTGCACCCTGCAGGCAGGCATTTGTCCTGGAGGACTTGGTGAGCCAGGGCTTAACAGAGATGTGCCGTTTTTCAGACCATCCCTTTAAATATCCCCCAGCAGCAAGCCCTCCGCGCCC